TCACTTATGGAGTAATTATGAAATTTCATAGCTAAAGTAATTGTCCTTGCTTTGGTTTTTCAAAGGATTGTGGTCTGCACAATATTAAAATATATTGACTATATATTTTAATATTTCATTCACGTTGTAAATTAAAACTTGATAATCATGTCTAAGGTTGTCTATCTAATTCCTGTATCCGATTTTATGTTTGGGGGAAGATTGATCCTTCCATTATTCTTGTACTTCTTTATTTCAATTTCATAGAATATGAAGGCGTGATTTATGGTGGTTGTGACTTTCAATATTTTAAGCTATCTATTCGACTATTCCTCAATTTTTCTAAGTACTTTGTAATTGGCAGGCTGATTTGGTTGATCCAGCAATCAAGGGAACAATCAACGTTCTTACCTCTTGTAAAAAGTTTTCTTCCGTTAAAAGAGTGGTTTTGACATCTTCAATGGCTGCAGTTTTGTTCACTGGAAAGCCTTGAGCTCCTGAGGTTGTTGTCGACGAAAGTTGGTTTTCTGATCCAGAGTTGTGCAAGGAATCAATTATGGTACGTCTATTATCTGTCGTAAAACATAACACTTATTCCAGGAAAATTATGTGGTACATTATTGAAGGGGTAGGATGTAGAAGCTAAACTAGTAATTTTATGCTGTTTAGAGTGCTCTTGCTAACTATATCTGCTCGCTAAAAGATTTTGCATTCTGGGATTTGCTCATGAGATGATTGACTGCCCTGATCATATCACTCTTTCGAGGCAGTTTAAATCTTTTCTAGTGTTTTTATGTGTTACTTCCTCTCTTTTGCAACTACATTAGCTTTTGGAGGCCTTTATGTGATGGTCTTTAGTCCTTTGTTTTCTATTATATATACTCTGTAATTGATTTATGTGATCTCCTTGGCTGGTACAGTCCGTACCGATGTGGTATAGGATTTCCAAGACCTTGGCTGAAGATGCTGCCTGGAAATTTTGCAAAGAGAATGGTATCGAATTGATCTCGATGAACCCAGGCATGGTTATTGGTCCTATGTTGCAACCAACACTTAATGGATCTGTAGCTTTAATTTTCAACTTAGTCGGTGTGTATTTCCTTATATCACGGTCCAGTATTAATCCTTGAAAGTAGGCATTACTGCATTAACTTATGCATATTTCTTGTTTTTCTCTGTACTATACAGGGGAAAAAACATTTCCAAATGCAGCCTTTGGTTTGGTCCATGTTAAGGATGTGGTAACTGCACATATCTTAGCATTTGAGGTCCCTTCAGCTTCTGGGAGGTACGTTTTGGTCGAAACTGTTGCTCATTGTTCTGAGATCGTGAGGATTTTACAAGAACTCTACCCCTCACTCTCACTTCCAGATAAGTGAGTTTCCTTTTCCTTTTGATTTATCATAGAAATTTACCTATACTTTCAAATGTCATCCGCTCTTCTGAATCCTCCGTGAAAATTATCTTCAGGTGTGCTGACGACAAACCTTTGGCACCAACATACCAGGTTTCCAAAGAGAAAGTTAAAAGTTTGGGCATAAGCTTTATTCCCTTTGAAGTAACCCTCAAAGAGACGGTTGAAAACTTGATGGAGAAGGGCCTTTTGAGCTTTAAGTGTAAGTAGGGGGTTACCGGGGGTTGATAATTATTGATAAATAAACTGTCATAATCTCCAGAGGTGAAAGTCTGTCTTAATTTGAGTTTATATTGAATAACAATGCTAATCTGATGAACTTCTGTCTTGTATTGAGTTACCATACTGAAATAATCGTCAAGCTTGTGCTGATGTTATTTCCTTTTTAACTATCTGGTGAAAAAACTACTCTAGTGTTTGATAAATCCTTTTATTTTGGGGAAGGTGGGGGTGGGTGGGTGTTGGGGGTTGAATTTGATATATGAAAAGATTTTATGGCAACAATTTCCATTTTTAAACCTAGAGACGAGTATGAACATAGTCCTGGTACTGGCAGGCTGGTAACTGAGTTGAAGAACATGACGCCAAAAGAGCAAGAGTGATTGCCTTTGTTAAATTGGCTACCTGATGTCAAATTCGTCACACCTCCTGTCTTAGACTCCGGTGCATGTTTTCAAATGTTACCCTCTTCGGCTCTTTGCAATGCTACACCAACTATATGTGTGTGCTCCCACAAGGCGCGCTTCTAACGGTCAAGAAGCTGCGTCATTGAGGCATTCCACGGAACAAAGAAAACAAAGTGAGGTTTAAAAGTCTGGGGAGTGGTACAGCAGAAAGTGAACGGAAGACAATTAGTAAGTACTAGATTAGTGCCCGTTCGATGTACGGTAGTGTAGGGAATATTTCAAATATCAACTTTGAGCCCCACTGTGATCAACTACGCATGATGATAAGTAGACCTGTTTAACGGACTGGGTTTAAAATAAAATGGGCTCGGTCGGGCCAAGACTAATCTCAAATAGGCCAGACTGGTTCATGTGCCATTGGGCCCAATCCATCCCAACCCATTCAAACTTTGTAAACAAAGTGCAACACATGAAGTAAACACAAGTTAAAAATGTCTTATAAAGGGTCTTTAAAGGGCCTTATATTATAGAGCCAAAAGCTATTACTAGACCTGTTCAATGGGTTCGCAGTCTACTAAAAGCCTCACCAGCCCGTTTATAAAAGGGTTTTTCGAGTCCAATATTTAAATGGATTGGACTTTTAAAGGGTCACCAAATAATGGGCCTTTAAAGGTTTGGATCAAACTTTAAAAGGGCTAAAATAGGGTAACTCTTATGAGGTTTTTTTTTTATTTTTTTTATTTTTTATTTTTTATCCTAATTCCTCTCTCTATATATGATTCTCCTAACTACTCACTTCACTAAAATTAAAACCTTGAAAAAAATTTCCCAAATTTCCCCCAAATTATAAACCCTAAAAAATTTCCCCAAATTCCCCCTCTTCCTAATTCGTACAATGTGTCATCAATTGCCGTATTTCTTCTTGCTCGCAGCTCTCAATCGTCTTGCTTGCCCTAAATATTGGGGAAGCAACAATCTTGTTGCTAGATTCTTGTCGAATTTGTCTCAATTTCGTGTGTCGGAAATTAGTAGGCTTTATACTCTTATTAAGGATCCGGACCCCTTGTTTTATAATACAAAGGATAGGAATTCTCGTATGTTTAATAAGGTAATTCTCTTTGTGAGTACTAATAAAAGTGATGAAAATGATTTATTTGTGTATTAGATTTTAATTCGATGAGTTAACTAGCTTCCCTAATATTAACTTTGCTGATTTTTTGTTTTTATTAGTACTCGCAAAGATAATTACCTTATCAAACATACTAGAATTTCTATTCTTTGTATTAAAAAAACAAGGGGTCAGGATCCTTAATAAGAGTATAAAGCCTACTAATTTCTAACACACGAGATCGAGACAAATTCGGTAAGAATCTAGCAACAAGATTGTTGCTTCCCTGATATTTACTGAGAGCAAAAAGATTGAAAGCTGCGAGCAAGAAGAAATACGATAATTGACGACAGAAAAAAACGAAATATGGGGAATTTTTTTAGGAGAAGGTATTGCGTGAGGCTTGCCTCACCAATAGCTTCGTGAGGCAAGCCTCAAAAACAACAACCCAGCTTATAGAAGGTATCATAAAACTAATAGAGGATAACATCTGGGCGATAGATAATATTTTGTTTGCTTAATTATATGTTCCTCTTGTTGCTTGATATGCTTATTTTGTTGGCTTATATGTTGCTACTTTTGTTTATTGATTTCATTATTATGTTAGTTGATATGTTTTATTTGTTAGCTGATATCTTTCTTTTGTTAGCTGATATATTATTTTTGTTGGCTGACATGTTTTTTTTAAATGTCTGATATGTTGCTTTTGCTAGCTGATATCAAACATCAGTTGACTGATATATTTCTTTAGCTGGCTGATATCTTTATTTTGTTGCCTTTTTTTTTTTTTTTTTTTTTGTGGTGTTTGACTCACTAAAGGTACACTTTGCACCCAAGTCATTAGTTTATGGTATTTTGGCTACTACGCAAAGTTCAGAATGTTTAAATGCACCCAAACCATAGTTAAAGTGTTTAGGCTAATTTTGCCTAAAAAAACCTCATAAAAGTTACCCTATTTTAGCCCTTGTTTAATCCAACCCTTTAGGCAATCTTTTAAAGGCCGGTTCCAATTAAATGTTGGACCAGCAAAATCTTTTATAAAGTACTCGGGGGTGTTTGGTAAATGGGAATTGAGGGTGGGAATGAGACTTTTAATCCCAAATTTTTTTAAAAAAAGGAAAATTTGATTCTAATAATCCCACCTTTGGCTGGTTCGCTGCTAATAATCCCACCTTTTGATTATTATCTAATAATCCCACCTTTAGGGGGCATTCTCTTCTAATGGTCCCTAACCTGTTGGTGACCGGTGTAATGGGTTAATATGCCACGTGTCACTTTGTGATTCGTCGAAATATTTTTTTATATTTCTTTTAAAAAAAAATTTAAAAAGTAATTTTTTTTCCCTTTCCTTCTTCCTTATTGTTTTGAAAACAAAAATAAAAAAATTAATTTTTTTTCTTACCTCCTGGTGGCCAATGATTTTTTTTTATATTTCTTTTAAAAAAAATATAAAAAGTAATTTTTTTTCCCTTTCCTTCTTCCTTATCGTTTTGAAAACAAAAATAAAAAAATTAATTTTTTTCCTTACCACCTGGTGGCCAAAGATTTTTTTTTTTTTTTTTTTTAAAAATATTTTTATATTTCTTTTTAAAAAAAATAATTTAAAAAGCAAATTTTTTTCCCTTTCCTTCTTCTTTATTGTTTTGAAAACAAAAATAAAAAAATTAATATTTTTTCTTACCTCCTAGTGGCCAAGGATTTTTTTTTTTTAATTTTTTTTTTTAAAAAAAACTTACCCAAACAACAAGTTACCGGTCATAAGGGACCATTAAAAGAGAATACCCCCAAAGGTGGGATTATTAGATAATAATCAAAAGGTGGGATTATTAGCAACGAACCGGTTAAAGGTGGGATTATTAGAATTAAATTTTCAAAACAAAAATCTCTTGTTTGTTAAATGGGATTGGGAATAAAGAAGGGAATGTGATTGAGAATAAATGGGGTGAATTCCCACCAATTGAGGGTAGGTAATAAATGGATGAGAATGAAAATAAGTAGAAAATGACATTTTTGCCATTAATAAAAAGAAGGAAGGAGAAAAATTAGTAAGGGTAATTTTGTATTTTTGTTATTTATTCCCTCATCTATTCTCATCCACCACACAAACAAAATATTATCGTATTTTTATATATTCCCAACAATCAATTTTCAATCTCATTCCCACATTTTAATTCCCAAACTCCCATCTCGCGTTTTAAACCGCCCATCCGTAGTTGTTCTTATACTCCATTTCTTCATACTAATCAGCATTTGAGAATTCAGAAATCAAGGAGAGATGAGTGGACATGGGCAGGTCGTGTGTGTGACAGGAGCAGCTGGCTTCATCGCTTCATGGATTGTCAAACTCTTGCTTCATCGTGGTTATACTGTCCATGCCACTGTTCGTAACCCAAGTAATTCTTTTTGTATTGGAAATTTCATGTGGGATGTCACTGTAATTGTTGAAATTGGACCAATCTTTTAATTAATTGATTAATTTTTCTTTCTTGTTTAATTTGATTTTAGAAATGTAGAAGTATATGTTTCTGATAATTCCATTGATTCAATTGTTTTTTCAGATGATCAGACAAAGGTTGAACATTTGTTGGGGTTAGAAGGTGCAAAAGAAAGACTTCATCTTTTTAAAGCAAATTTAATTGAAGAGGGTTCTTTTGATTCTGCTATTTCTGGGTGTCATGGTGTTTTTCATACTGCTTCTCCTGTTCTTTTCGCTGTTACTGATCCTCAGGTTGATTTTTATTTCTTCAGAATTTTCTTATAGTCTGTTTGCTTATCTAGTCTATTACTAGTAGGAAAAAAAAATGTAGTATTAACATTTTGCTAGAAGACTTAAACAGTGAACAAGTAAGAAAATACTTGGCAATTAGTGGTAAATAGAGGAAGTATTGGTAACTTGGGTTACGCAGTGCCCACAGGGCTTTAGACTGGTTGGGAGAGGAGACTCGAACTTGTGACCGGGTGGACGAATTGACGGAAGGTTACCAACAAACCAAGGTCTCATAGAGGGAGTTTTTTTGATCTGTAGATATGGAGGTTGACTTTTAAGGCTCAACATTTTTCATGTGATAATGAATAAATAATTAATAATAGTTACTTCCTTTTTCTTTAAGTAATCTGTAATACACAGGGAAATACATTACCCTATCTTCTGTCAACTTATCATGGTTTGATTTAAATTGTATAATGATTATATTAGTAACTTGAAAATGGCGGTATTAAAAAGATGAGGCTGCATACATATAAATCGCCTCAAGTAATATCTAAGGGTGGTGGTTGATCTTTATAACATGCTTAAGGACTATAGACCACTTTGAAGAGTGACAGACTTTATCAACTCTAATTAACTTTAATAGTTATTAGTTAACAACAGTTCATAATATTACAAAACTATTGCTCTCCTCAACTTACATGTATGGTTCACATAATTAGGACATTTCACTATTACAAATTTACAAGTAATTGTCCGTCCATATGTTTTTTCAAAGGACCATGGTGTACATGGTTTTCCTACACCATCCTTTGGTATTGAGTTATTGACTACTCTATATTTGCTAAGATATCATCCATTGTAAATTGAGATATAATACTCAAGTCTAAGGTTGTATATCTATTTCCTGTATCCGATTTAATGTTTTGGGGGAAGACTAAAACTTTCATTATTTTTGTACGTCTTTACTTCAACATAATTGAATATGAAGGTGTGACTAATGGTTGTTAATCTTGTGACTTTCAATATTTCAATCTATTTCATTCTTCATTTTCTGTAAGTACTTGTAATTGGCAGGCTGATGTGCTTGATCCAGCAATCAAGGGAACACTCAACGTTCTTGCCTCTTGTAAAAAGTTTTCTTCCGTCAGAAGAATGGTTTTGACTTCTTCAATTGCTGCAGTTTTATTCACTGGAAAACCTCGAGCTCCTGAGGTTGTTGTCGATGAAAGTTGGTTTTCTGATCCAGAGTTTTGCAAGGAATCAAGTATGGTACGTCTATCTTCTGTAAAACATACCACTTATTCAAGGAAATTAATTCGTATATGAAGGGGAAGAGTATTAAAGTCGAACCAATTTCTCATGCCGCGTGGTGCACTAGCTTATTATTTTTACGTGCTTATCTTTCAAAGACATTGAAGTCTGGGATTTGTTCATGTGATTCTTGACTTCCGTGATCATATAGTTCTTTCATGCCTTAGGCACTTTAGATCTCTCCTAGAGTGTCTTCAGCCACCCCCTTTTTGTTGTAAGAAACTTATGCGTTATGTGATCTCTTTGCCTGGTGCAGATGTGGTATACAATATCCAAGACTTTGGCTGAAGGTACTGCCTGGAAATTTGCCAAAGAGAATGGTATCGACATGGTTTCGATGAACCCAGGCATGGTAATAGGTCCTATGTTGCAACTAACACTTAACTCATCTGTAGCTCCAATTCTGAACTTAATCAATGGTGTGTATCTCTTAATATTATGGTTCATTATTAGTCCTTAAGTAAGAATTACTAAATTATGTTACACAAATTTCTTATTTTCTCTATATTATACAGGGGCAAAAACTTATCCAAATGCGACCTATGGTTATGTCCATGTTAAGGATGTGGCAACTGCACATATCTTAGCATTTGAGATCCCTTCAGCTTCTGGGAGGTATGTTTTGGTCGAAACTGTTGCTCATTATTCCGAGGTCGTGAGGATTTTACAAGAACTTTATCCCTCACTCTCACTTCCGGATAAGTAAGTTTCTTTCCTCTTTTCATAGACATTTACCTACTTTCAAGTTCCAAATTTCATCCGCTTTCCTGAACTCTCCATGGGCGTTTTCTTCAGGTGTGCAGACGACAAGCCTTTTGGACCAACATACCAGGTTTCCAAAGAGAAAGTAAAAAGTTTGGGCATAGACTATATTCCCTTTAAAGAAACCCTTAAAGAGACAGTTGAAAACTTGAAGGAGAAGGGCTCTTCAAGATTTGAGTGGCAGTAGGGGGTTAATTCCTTACACTGTATACTGAAAATTGTTATTGATAAATAAATGTTTATAAGGATCCATTTGGTTTGAAGTAAAACATTTTCAATGAAAAATGATTGTTCATAAAAACCATATACTTAAGGAAACCAATAGTTGCAAATTAGTTTTCCTTTATTTGATTCTTTACAACAAAAGTTATAGAAAAATTGAAAATATGAATGGAAAGGTGTGGATGGATGGAAGAAAAGTAAAAAGAGGTAAGGAGGGAGGAAAATGTGGCTTTCCTCTCTATATATATTTTTTAAAGGAAAAGGTTTTTTACCATTGAAAATTAAAATGTATAATTTTCCACTCTTGAGAAAATTGTTTTTCATCCCTTTATAAACCTTTTTTTTTTTTTAATTTTTATTTTTTTAATTTTTATTTTATATCCCTTCACAAACCTAGCAAAGGCAAATAAGCAAAAATGGGAAAATCATTTTTCGTGAAAATAGTTTACATCAAACCAAACACATCCTAAGAGGTGAATTTCTGTCTTAATTTGAGTCTGTATTGGTTTGGATTGTTAAATTCTGCTGAACTTCTGTCTTGTATTTGTATCAGTGACGAATTCTGACAATATTGAAATAATTGGCATGCTTGTGCTTCTGTTGCCTTGTTTAACTTCCTGATCACCTAGCTGATTAAACTCTATGCTGAGAATTTTATGGCAGCAATTTCCATTTTTAGACCTAGATGATTAAACCGGCACATCCTCTGTTTCAAGATAAATACTGTATCCAATTTGACCCGCACATTTACCAGCTCGGAACTTTGAGCCATTATGATTCAATGCATTTTTTTTTTCCTTCTTTTAATAAAATGTGCATAGTCAAACAATGTGCACCTGACTGCTCAGTCTTTATTTGTAACATATTACATCATCTCTTACTACATACTCCACTTCATACTTCTCATTAAATAAATAAATAGCAATATTGAATAAACTATGTTATGTGTCTAACTTTACTTCAACAATTCAAGCAATATCAATTAGGCTTTGATTTTTATTCTTAGTTAGTTATTTCGATTTTGATAGTATATAAAGTACTTTTACCTGCTACTTAATTTCCTTATAAATATCAGTACTTGAGAATTCAGAATTCAGAGAGCAACATGAGTGGACACGGGCAGGTCGTGTGTGTAACAGGAGCAACTGGCTTCATTGCTTCATGGATTGTTAAACTCTTGCTTCATCGTGGTTACACTGTCCATGCAACTGTTCGTGACCCAAGTAATTCTTTTTTGCACTAGAAATTTTACATGGGGTGCACTTTAATTGTTGAAATTGGATCAATCTTTTAATTTTTCTTTTCTTCTTTCTTGTTCATATCAGAAATGTAGAAGTATATGTTTCTTAATAATGCCATTGATTAAATTGTTTTTTCAGATGATCAAACAAAGGTTGAACATTTGTTGGGGTTACCAGGTGCTAAAGAAAGACCTACACCTATTTAAAGCAAATTTACTCAAAGAAGGTTCTTTTGATTCTGCTATCTCTGGCTGCCATGGTGTTTTTCATACTGCTTCTCCTGTTCCTATTGTTGTCAATGATCCCCAGGTTCTCTAGAATTATCTTCTTCTTACTTATTATTCTGTTTATATTTGTGCCAAGGGAATGTGTTGCGATAATTAAAAAAAATTGAATTAGAGACTTGAAACAATTGAACAATGGTGTTGTAAAAAGGATGAGGTTGCATACATTTGAACTGTCAAGAATAACACCGAAGGGTGGTGGTTGTTCTTTATACCATGCTTATTATGAGGGCAATAGACTACTCAGAGGAGTGACAGACAGTATGAACTCTAAGTCTAATAGTTAACAGTTCATGATGACACAAATATATATTGCTCTCCTTGCCTTACAGTAATAATTCACCTAATTAGGAAATTTCATTATTTTAAGTTGTTGTCCTTCCTTTTGTTTTCCAAAGGACCATGGTGTACATGATTTTTCTACATCATCCTACAGTAATAATAAGAATTCATCCATGTGTATATTGAGACTTGATAATCAAGTCTAAGGTCATATATCTATTTCCTGTATATTTCATGCTTTTGGGGAAAGACAAATCCAATAACTATTTTTGTACTTCTATATTTCAACTTAATAGAATACGAAGGTGTGATTTATGATGGTTGCGCCATTTGATATTTAAGCTGTTTATTCCACATTTTTCTTAAAGTACTCTGTAATTGGCAGGCTGATTTGCTTGATCCAGCAATCAAGGGAACACTCAACGTTCTTACCTCATGTACAAAGTTTTCTTCCATCAGAAGAGTGGTTTTGACATCTTCAATGTCTGCAGTTGTATGGACTGGAAAGCCTCCTGAGGTTGTTATCGATGAAAGTTGGTTTTCTGATCCAGAGTTTTGCAAGGAAACTAATATGGTACCGGTACGTCTATCTTCTGTTAAACTTGCAACTTATACAAGGGAATCAATGTGTTATAAGAAGGGGTAGGATATTGAATTTGAACCAATTTCTCATGTTGTTTAGTGCACTAGCTTATTATTTTTACGCGCTTATCTTTCAAAGACATTGAATTCTGGGATATGTTCATGTGATGCTTGATGACTTGACCATATAGTTTTATCATGTCTTAGGCATTTTAAATCTCTCCTAGAGAGTTTCTATGCTTTTCATCCTCTCTTTTGCAAGAACATATATCAGCTATTGGAGGCCTTTATGTGATGGTCTTTGGTTCTGTTTTTCTATTACACTCCATAATTGATTTATGTGATCTCTTTTGCTGGTGCAGATGTCGTATACGTTATCCAAGACCTTGGCTGAAGATACTGCCTGGAAATTTGCCAAAGAGAATGGTATCAACATGATCTCGATGAACCCAGGCATGGTTATAGGTCCTATGTTGCAACCAATAGTGAATACATCTGTAGCTCATCTTCCGAACATAATCAATGGTGTGTATCTCTTTAAATTACTAGTCCTTAATAGTAAAATTTCTTCATTAACTTACAAGTCGTACACATATTTCTTGTTTTTCAATGTATTATACAGGGGCAAAAACTTATCCAAATGCAAGCTTTGGTTATGTCCATGTTAAGGATGTAGCAACTGCACATATCTTAGCATTTGAGGTCCCTTCAGCTTCTGGAAGGTACAATTTGGTCGATACTGTTGTTCATTATTCCGAGCTCATGAAGATAATACAAGAACTCTACCCATCACTCCCACTTCCGGATAAGTGAGTTTCCTTCTTATTTTTAATCAAAATCCACTTTTCATAGACATCTACCTTAAATTCCTACTTTCATTCACTATTCTGAACCTTCTGTGGACCTTTTCTCCAGGTGTGCAGACGACAAGCCTTTTGCAACAACATACCAGGTTTCCAAAGAGAAAGTAAAAAGTTTGGGCATAGACTATATGCCCTTTAAAGTAACCCTCAAAGAGACGATTGAAAACTTGAAGGAGAAGGGCTTTGCAAGCTTTTGAGTGTCAAGAGGGTTAATTCATTATACTATATACTGTACTATTGGTAAATTAATGATCATGATCTTAAGAGGTGAAAGTCAGTCTTAATGTGAGTTTATCTTGGTAGAGAGTACTACAAGTTTTGCGAGCTTTGAGTGTCAGTAGGGATATTTTTCTTATATATATATTTTTTTGAGTGTCAGTAGCGGTTTAATTCATTACACTGTATGCTGAAAATTATTATTGATGAATAAATGACTATGATCTTAAGAGGTGAAAGTCTTGTGTTAATGCAAGTTTATATTGGTTAAGAGTGCTAAACTCTGCTGAACTTCTGTCTTGTATCCAATGAATATATTGAAATAATCGGCATGCTTGCGCTGCTGTTCTTGCCTTTTCAACTTCCTGTGGATTCAATTCTATACAAAACTTCCTTATATTTGGGTGGGGGATTGTCGGGGATGGGGTTGAACTCGATATCTGAAGAAATTTCACAGAGCAATTTCCATTTTTAAACCTAGAGACTCCAGTGTAAGTACAGTTCTGATTCTGACAGAGTTTGATGCGTTTTGACATCATATAACAGGCCAAAAGAGCAAGAGTGATTGCCTTTGTTAAATCACTTCCTGTCTGGTGTAGACTCCAGAGCATGTTTTCACGCGTTATCCTTGCAATGCTACACTATCTATGTATGTGTGTGATCCCCCAAGGTTTCTAATGATCAAGAAGCTGTGGCATTGAGGCATTCCATGAAACAGAGAAAACAAAGTGAGGGTATAAGTAGTGGAACAAAAATGAGCTTACGGCAGAATGTGAATGGAAGATGCTGCGTATAACTAAGGGTTCTGGTTACATTTTAACAGGCTAACAGCTTGTGCTTTAGCAGGGTTATACTGTCAAGGCCACTCGTGACTCGGGTCTGTCCACTTTTTCAATTACCTCCATTTGTCATGCTATATAAAATGTCTGTCTCACAACAAATTGTGAAATTCAGTGTTTTTGTTACTTTATATACCTTGAATGATCACTGTAAAATTCAATCAAGTATCATCTCATAAACAGTTAAGGAGTTTCTTGTTTAATCATCGAGTTAAAGCATGCTCATTAACTGCTTCTAGGAGATACAAGAAATCCGAACGATCTGGTAGCATAAAGGAAGCAAAGGAAGGCTTCACCTATTTAAAGCAGGTTTGGATCGTTTGATGGAAGACGGTTACTTAGATTCTGTTGTTGCTCAGTTGCTGGATGTGAAGGGGTTATCAGTATCACCCTGCATCATATCTCCTGTTTGTTTTAAAAATTTCTAATGCCAATGACCCTCGTGTTAATCTTCGTCTTTTCTTGTAATGATATGATTAAATGTGAGGTTTGTGCCAAGCATCAAAGCTTGAACACCCTAACTTAGCTGAATTATGAAAATAGCAGTCGTATGATTTGTGTTAATTTTTAACCTCTACTCGAGTTTTGACTATGGCGTTGGCATATGCAGTTAATTTGACAGAAAATGAAAAACAGTTTCTAAATTCATGTAATTAAATTAATTATTAGGTTGTTAAGTTAATAAAATATATATCTTCGACATTTTTATAGTCAACTAAATGAATGGATAAGATTGTTCCTTAAATAAAAGGTTACTGTAATATTTTAAAATGTTACAACTACAAATATCGATAGCTATTGAATAACCTTCCAAAAACGATATTATTGTGTGAGTTTGTCGAATACACTTACAAGAGGTGGATAGCCATTTCAAAATCACTGAATTTAGTTTCATCATCTTTCAAAAAAATCTAGCATTTTCACCAAGCACAGAATTTAAATTTGAAATAAAACACGAACCAGGAAGGCAGGAAACGTAGTATATCAAGTAGATAAGGCAGCTACAAGATCAACATGGTCAGGAAAAGTTGCCAATATCCACAACTGCAATTTGATTAGTATTTTTGAATCGAATATAATTACATAAATCTTCTATCTATTTTGCGAATTCATTTATTTCTTTAACATATTTTCTTATGTCCAAATTGATGTCACTAATATCAACATGACTACTAACTTTGAATGGACTCAAATCACTCAAAAAAATTGTAATAGCTTGTATTACTTTGTACATTTAGGTTGTTAATCAAAGTACGTAGTATTTTATATATTACACAACAACATTTTAAATTAATTTTATACTC